CAAGTGAACATTCTAAACGGTCTAAAGGTGCTTAAACATAATGCACTACTGTTTATTATTCCACACACAAGGTTCACCTTAACAAGGAATTATTATAATTCCTAACTTATGCAATTCCAAAGGCATAATTAAATTCACATAACTAGAAAATATAATGTTATGCTAGTGAACGATTATATGTGAAATTCAGTATGCTCATATCCAAATAAATTGTGCACCATAATAACAATTTAAAGTGAGCTATAAAACTATTATTCAAATAACAACATAAATCCAAAACTTAAAGAATTATAAAATTTGAATAATAATTTATAATAATCATATACTTTTCAATTATTGAAAAGTTTTACCTTGTAGGCCCAATACAAAGGTGATTCAATGCATATAGTAAACTTTATGAGAACTAGCTTAAAATTGTAAATTCTAACCATATCAAAACCATATGATATGTTGACATTTACAAATTAAATTCTCATAAAACTAAATTGCATAATTTAAACAATAATATTATGCACTTAATTTAATTATATGCATAAAACAAACTTAAAAAATATGAATACAAAATCAAATATTCATACTTAATCAAAGTGGGCATCACAATCCAAAAACAATAATGATAATATAACAATGTCACGACATATTAATTCTTCAGTTCAAAAACGATAATCGTTATTACTATAATAACAATTACGTGACAGTAATAACTGAACAATCAATTTTCTCAATCGTAACCTCTGACATTTAATAGTAATGACTATAAAATGATATTATCACTATTAACACATATATGTTTTGGATCAAGAATGAAATGGTTTCAAAATTATGATTACAAATCATACTATCAAAATCTAAAACAAATGATGATAGTAACGGCACAAAGCATTGATCCATCGGTTCAAAAACCAATAGTCGTTATTACTATAATAATTCTAATAATTATTACATAACAGTAATAACGGAATAATCAATTCTCTTAATTGTAACCGATCAACATTTAATTATAATAATGATCATCATTATTATTAAATGTTACATAATATCATAATTATTAATATATAAAAGTTTTGGACAAGCAAATTCAAATGAATTTCAAAATATGATTCTTAACATCATAATCAAAAAATATTATGGCAAGACTGAAATAGAAAATAATATCCAATAGCCATAAACATATGCATTTTCCAAATTGTGATACAAAATCACAAACCATAGTTAAGGATATTATTAAGGATATTATCAAATTATGACAAAATTACAAAATTCAAAAATTGCAATTAATAGCCATAATATTAAAATAATTAGGTGATTTAACATGGAAAATCAATTGCTGAAACTGCTATTTTAAAACATTTTCGGAAACCTTTTAAAAAACTTGATACACCCAAGATAGGTCCCAAATAGCTTGTTCAAAAAAGGTTTTAAAGTCCCCAGTGAAATTAGGACTAAAATATGCTCAAAATTAAATGAGAAACCAAACAAGCTATCTTAATAGGCTATAATATTCAAACTAGCCTAAAAATTCGAAAATGAATAAAATCGAATATAAAGACTATGAGTTAATAATACGCTATATCCAACTAAATATGCTTTTCTAAATGTATAGTTATAACAAAATAATTTATGAATATACAAAGCATGCTTGAATTTTGCATATTAACATAATATTAACTCATAAATCCTAAAAAAAATTGCAAACACTTCAGGCAATTTAATATAACTTTGAATATTAAATTAAAATTCAAATAGCAAATTTAAATCTTAATATTTGCTTATAATTGAATAATAATTTAACTTAATTATGAATTTCAATGCCAAAAAGAATAAGAGGAAAAACTAAAGGGCATCATCCATAACAAGCAATTACCATATATTTTACCATTTGCCAAAAATTAATATACAATATTAATTAAGGTAATATAAATATGGTAATGTTAAATCAAATAATTACCATTTACCAAAATTAATTTATATAAAATTAAATTAGGCAAATACCAATATGGTAAAATAATAAAAGTAATTGCAATTAATATGAAGGTGAAAATTGGCGTACCATTATAATCACTAATCCTTCGTCTTCTTCCAACGTAACCAGAAGATCAACGCCACCTACCGCCATCCTCATCGCGATGCCACCAGTTCCCGTCTATCTTCAACTGGAGCCACAGTACCTTTGCGGCGACTAGAAACAGAAGCAGCATCGCCGCGCCAGGCCAAACGTCGCCGGGAAGAGAGAGAGGGAAGCGATGGTCGCCGGGAAGAGAGCTCGCTCCGCCGTCCCACCTTACCGCAACGCCAAACGTCGGCGCCGTTTCCGCAGCATCAGCAGCAGAGAGATAGCGAAGAAACATGGATAATCCATTATCCAGAGGAGAGGAAGCTTGACGTCGCCGAAAGCCCAGCCTCGTCGACGTCGTTTCCGCCGGAAGCCCTTTCATTGCAGCGCCCAAGCTCCTCGTTGTAACGTCATCCACCACCATCGTCCACCATCCGCGACTCCAAGTCGCATCCAAGTTGCAAATATTACAACAGATTATTTCAACAGATCAGGTTTATTATTTATGCAATTTGATTGTATATTTAATGTTTTTCAAAAAGGTTCCTGCATAATTTTCATGTACAAATATCCACACACACACACACACACACACACACACACACACACATATATATATATATATATATATATATATATATATATATAATGGATACATGTATGCCCAGAACAATCATATTCAAATTGCATACATATTCAAACTAATCCTCCAACGATGCCACATCAAGCTCCGGAGATATTGGACGGCAGTCGTGATCCAACGATAACATATAATGACAGTACATAAAACAATGAAGCAAAATTCCCACAAAGGTAATAGCATTTTATATATTTTCCAAAATAATATATACATCAAATATTACCTTCTCAAACAAAATGTCATGTTATCAACCTAACTTGTATACAATTACAGGAATATATATACATATGTACTTCTGCATCATAAATATATCATTCCAACTGATATTCATACTGCAAACATATTCTCGGGGAAAAAAAAAGAAACAACAGTAAAACATATATATTGCATAATATATAATTCAAATATATATCATATGCAAATTATCAACTAGGCAGAGATTAAACAGGCTCTGATACCAAATGTTAGAATACACACACAATTTGAACACATGTGATGACCTAACCTCATAGCGGAAGCATAATGATCAAGCAAAACTCCAGCCATAGTTGATACTTTGTTGCATTGTATTGTTGCTTCAAGAACTCCAATGATCATAGTTTTGTTGTCTACCATTAATCTCCTGTATGAACTAGATGGTGTAGTTGTAAAGCTGCAACAGGAGCAATGGGAGGACCATGCTTAAATAGCCTACATGCCATCATTATAGGCTAAGTAACGGAAACCGTTACTTTCGTTTCAAACCACAACATAATGGCCATAATTGGCCTATTAAACTTGCACCACTTAATAGTGTAATTATAATGAAAATGTTACACTATGAAGTGCCTGAGAAAAGGGGAGAAGGGCAGGCCAGTAAGAGCATGGAAGTATTGTTCCATGATGAAGAGGTAGTGTTCTTTATTTTCAAAAAATCATATTCATGCTATCTACAAATCTAATGGTCTATAAATGTGTATAATTTTTTTTTAGGTTTTTGCCGGGGAGACTACATTCATGATATGCTATCTACTAACCTAATGATCTTTTGCTGTGTAAAATTTTTTGTCTATTTTATTCGCAGGGAGACTACATTCATGCCAGTATTATTAAAAAGGACATTGGAAAGTATAGAGATATAATCAAAGAAGGGAAAATATTTGAAATCAAGAACTTCATGGCTTCTACAAACTACTATGTCTACAAGATTACAGAACATGACTTCCTAATCAAATTCAACTATAGAACACAAGTGAAGGAGATACATTCTAATGGCTTTCCTTGCAAAATGTTTCGGCTAAAGAGTTTTTTGGCTTTGAAAGATCCTGCTGATGTGAATGACAAGGAATTGATTGGTACTATCTTTACTTTTTTAACTACTAATATCTTCCTTAATCTATTTTTAGTAGTGTTTTCTAATATTTGTTAAATTGGCAGATGTGATTGGAAGGGTGGTTGAGGAGGAAACAAACAGTGATGCAATCTCTGAAGTAAGCCTTTCATAGCCTTACTGCTCTAGAATTTTTTTTTTTTTTTTTTTTTTTTTTTTTTTTTTTTATGATGGTGGCTAAATTGGTTTACTGATTTTGTTAATAATAGGAAGCCTCTATTGGAGTGGAAGTTAATAGTCCTGCCTCTATTCAAGCCTCACAAAAGGAAGTAGATGACAATGCTGACAACTCAGGAGATATTAAAAGGTCGCTTTTGGATGAGTTTTCATCATCCAAAAGTAGGAAGAAGTTGAAGGAAGCACAAATTAAAAAGGAAAAAATGTAATTGTGACCTTGGTTGAAACTGATTGTTGTGGACCTGCCCTATCCAGACTTAAAAGACTGATTTTTTTGTTCTTATTATGGTTTATTTAATCCTGATGATCTCTAAACAATATTTTTAGTTCTAATCCTGTTGATCCCTCATTATTAAAGATTATTTTTGGGATATTTTATAATTATGGTTTACTGTCTTGATGAGATTGCCTAACTCATTTTTACCATATTGCCTAACTCATTGTTACCATATATTGGTGCCTCTACTGCTACTATTATAACCTGTTTTGCAGATTTTCTAACTTCCATTTCAGGTGATTGGGAAGGATGATCAAGGTTCAAGGTTTTAAAATGCAGAAACAAGGGACAAAATTTGGCAAGGAACTTATACTTTGTAGATGTAGTTTTGTATAGGTTCCATTAGATATTAAACTTCTCCTATAAAACTGTGTAAAGATACTAAGAGCATTGAATGGCAAGAACTTTTTAAAACTTTCTAATACAAGTATAACCTCTTAGAACTAAATAACTTGTGCCTAAAATATAAAGATAGGTTTACTCACCTATTTGCAAGTTCTTCTTTTACTGTGTTTGCAACTCTCAAATCCAATTTTGGTCCATGCTGGTGTCCACCAAAAACTGCTAGCACATATGAAAATGAATTAATACACATCACTTAAGTGAAATCTTTGTAATACAAAATAAAGTTAACTAAAATTAACAATAAAATTGTTCAACTTCAGAATCTAAGTACTAATCTTAGGTTAAGCTTTCAAAGAATCCATATTGAGAAACAAACTACTAATCATAGGGTAGTGCCTGATTCTTAATCTACCAAATCTATTGGTTCCAATAAAGCACAGTAGCATAGAAACACTCAATCTGTTAGAATATCCTTAAATTAGAAGAAATACTTTGATACTACACCTAACTTTAATCTGCTGTGATATAGAATAAAAAAAAGCAATTTTTTAAAAAAAATCTAAGTCAAAAAAATTTGGAAAACATCCTTAACTTTTGAAATATTTTTAAATGTGGTGCAATTTAAATAATACAGTAAGTACTGCTCTTAGGTTAAGCTTCAGGAATTATTTATGTATCTAAATAGTTTCATTACTCTACCAAAGCTCTTAATTGTTCTATAGAATGACTTATATATATACACTAGAAGATTGATAGCTGAAACAAAGAATTCCAAAAAGTATTGGATTAATGGTATATTCATCCAACAATCAAAGAAAGGGCCAATTTGAAGTATATGAACTGGGTCTAAAATTGAGGACAATTTGTTAACAAAATTCTGTTTAATTAAAAGTTTCTATTGCCTTGCAAACTAAAATGAACAAACTTACAAACTATGCAATTATATGCATACAAACTAATCTAAAGAACAGGAAAAAAAATATAAAATCTTAACCTATTTGCTTAGATCCCCATGCTGCTTTTAGTTTCTTTGATTGATGTCTTATTTTCTGCTTGATTCTCTACAATTCCACCAGAGCTTGGGTTATTCCATCCTCAACAAAATAAGACAAAGAAAAAAAAAAGGTTAGAAATTGTATCACTGTATTAAAGAACACCACCAAAAGGAAAGGATACACTGGCACAAAAAAACATTTTTAGAGATATTTATAAAGGGAAGGATACAATAAAATTTAATGTTAACTTATCCTTAATTGTTCTATATAATGACTTATATACAACAATTAAATACACTAACTAATGCAAATTGGATACTTTAAGTTACTAGAAGACTGATAGCTGAAACAAAGAATTCCAAAAAGTTTTGTTTTAATGGTATATTCATCCAACAATCAAATAAAGGTCCGAGTTGATGTATATGAACTGGGTCTAAAATTGAGAACAATTTGTTAAAAACTAATCTAAAGTCAGGAAAATAAATGTAAAATGTTAACCTATTTGCTTAGATCACCATGCTGCTTTTAGTTTCTTTGATTGATGTCTTATTTTCTGCTTCATTCTCTTCAATGTATCCAGAGCTTTGGTTATTCCATCCTCAAAAAAATAAGAAAAAAAATAAAAACAGGTTAGAAATTGTGTGTCCAATATTAAAGAACAACACCAAAAGGAAAGGATACACTGGCACAAAAATTTTTTTTAGACAATTAGAAGCAAAGAAGCAATGTGTTCAATATTCTACAAACTTATATACAGAAATTGAATAAAATGGAATTATTGGGCTGTGAAGTAAAAACTAATCATTCTTAGGGAAAGTAAAACATTCTTTAGATATTAAATATAATTGATGGCCAGCTATCATTACTATTAAGAGAAAACCCTTCAGTTCCACTTCGAATCGCAAAATCATTGAAAAAATATAAATTTGCTACAATGAACCAATCTACTGATAGCTGCCCCATCTAACTACAAAAATAGTTTTCCAGTTTGAGACCTCTGCCAGAGAGACAATTGACATTAGCAGTTGCAAGTACACACAATAGACAGTGCAATGAAGAAGATTACTAAGTCAACAATTATAGGCATCAAAAGGAAACTAAGTGAGCAAAATAAAGGTAAGTTCGAAACTTATCTTTTTTCATACTTTAAATGAAGCTTCATTTTTGCATCCCTATTGCTTTCCGATTCTGTTTATGCTCTCCATCTCCTCCAATAACTCCAGTATGTCCATAAAAAAAAAATAGATTAGAGATTACAGTATGAAAAATAGATTAGAGATTACTCCTCAAAAAGTAGATTATAGGTGAGTGTTTGTGTGAATAATAATATATTTATAGCATTTAGCACATGAAAAAAACACACTTAACCGTAACTTCTCAATCTGGTGTTTTTAGAGCAGCATTAAAAATAACACGATTTAGAACCCTAATTGCGGTGAATCATACAAATCTGAAATTAAGAGATTTTATCTATGAGAATCGATCTGCATGCTTAACTATTCTTACTAAGGAGAAGAGATTACAGTATGAAAAATTGATCAATTTCGAATTGGACAACAGTCATGCATAAGAAACCCTAAACGAATTGACTGAAAGATGGAAGCATACTAATTAGAATGCTGTAATTTTTTTTTATTTGAAGAAATAAAGAGTATTTTTTTTCATTACAAACAACAAAGTCTATTTTAAGCCTAATACAAGAAATATTGTAGTACAACTAATCATGCATTGAGAATTATACCAGTTACATACTGTCAGTACAACTTAAACAGTCAAAATTAATGTATATACTCAACAGATTTGTGTAAAAATTCATACACATAGATAACTATTGCATAGCTAAAAAAAAAAAAAAAAAAATTATCAATGCATTGAGAGTTCTACAAGTTACATACTGTCCTAGGTCTTAAAAGAAAATGAATAATGAGCAGGTTAGGAAAACTTACTTTCGTAACTGAGGATGGATTGCATAAACTTAACACTGTAGAGCATAACCTATAAATATAATTAAGATATCATATTAAGTAACACAATTACTTTTTACTATAAAATTAAAGTAGAATCTTTAATCCAATAAAAACAAGAGAGCTTAATATAAGTCATACTTAATTTAAAGTTTAAGTATGAAAAAAAGCATAATGTTAAAAACAAGTATTACTTAATTTAAAGTTTAAGAACACTTACTTGACATTTCAAGTGCCAAGCCATTTGAACCTCCTTCAAATGAGCCATTTGGTCCCTGGAAATATATTGTTACAAAACAGTAGTCGGACATTAATAAGCCATAGCAATTATTAGTTTTCAATAGTACTTAATGACTATTTTTCAATAGATCTTTTTTTTTTTTTTTTTTTTTGTTTGTTTGTATCAGTACACAACATGTATATGAAATCTAGGTTGAAATTAAACAAATCAATGTAGAAGATACTTAGCTTTCTTCATGCTCGAATGTATGAAGCTACTCATTCTGCAAAAAAAATTTTAAAAAAAATCCACCATCAACAACAATCAACACATTTAATCCCCACCCAAGTACTGGAAAAGTTAAATAGATTAGCCTAACAACGCATGCATTGCAAGATTTAAAGAAAAAAAAAAAACCCTAGACAGACAATTAAGTGAACCTAATGCACAAATCGGGTAAAATCTTCATAGATTATGTCTTCTTAGACTTTAAATTGAAGAAATTCATAAACATAATCTACAAATGCTTGGCTAAATTAAACGAATTAGATAGATTTCATAGAAGGATTATACTTACAACGATGATGGTAGCAGCCTTCGTCTTCACTGTTAGCTTAGATTTATGGTAGTATGATTGCCAAATTTGTGATGCTTGAACAATGATTGCATCACAAATCTGGAAAATCAAGTAATATAGAGACATAGAGGTAATAGATAGATAGATGCAGAGAGAGAGAGCGATGGTGAGGAAGAGAAATGTGTGGGTGAGATATTCCGGGTAAGAAATGAACACAAAGCTTCCTGACCCTTCATTTTTGTTTTATATATATATATATATATATATATATATATATATATATATATATATATATATATATATTGAAATGATGTGTGTGCACGTGTAACCTGCATAATAAATTTGACATTTGAGGTGTAATGCATATATTATTTATATATATAATCTATATTATATATTACACACACACACACACAGGGCCGGCCCTGGGGCAAGGGCAGGCTGGGCCCTTGCCCAGGGCCCATGTTTGGGGGAGGGCCCCATCCTATCTCTTATATATATACTATATAGTATATATGTATTGAGTATAAGTAATTTATATACATATGTTTTATAGTAAGGTGAATTAGCTTAGTTGGTAAGATACTTGAATTTTAATCTCATTTAATCAAAAGGCCCATGATCCAATCCAATCCTTCCCTTTACGTTTTAGAATTCCTCAACTTTACTTCTTTGCTTATATTCTAATGTATATTTTAAAATTTTATTTTTATTGATTTTTTGTGTTTAATACGGAGTAGTATTTTTAATGTAGTTTTTAAATATACTCCGTATAAGTTTTGATATATTTATACTAAACATATTATGAATTTTTTTTATATTAAATATATAAATTTTTATGTTAAATTTTTAATGCAATTTCTAAATTTATAAATTTTTATATACTTATACTAAACATATTATGAAAAATTGAATTAAAAAAACTTCAATCAACTCATGTTAACCAAACAAGACACGTAAAAATAGGACGGAGGGGGTTATATGATATATTTTGAGATTGAATTATAAAAAAAAAATTAAAAGATAATTTACTTCGTACCTTTTTATGAATATCTAATCAATGTAATATATAAGCTTTTATCATGTGTCATTATATGTATTCAAATTATTCTTAAAAAAGTTTAAAATTTATCTATTTAAAAGAAAAAGTATTTGTATTAAAAAAAAGTATTTATAAAAATCATATAAATAATATAGAAGATGTGTGATTTATAATATGATTTATGTTCAAACTATTTTATCTAGATAATTATGTTTCATATCTTTTTGCATTTTTTTATTGTGTTTTGAAATATTTTAATTTCTTGCTCCTAGTCAAATTTTTTTTTTTTGAGCTTTTCATATGTTTGTAATTATTGTTTTATAAATTTTTAATAATAATTAATTTATTATTTATTATGATAAATGTTATTGTTTATAAGTTTACTCGATTTTAAATTATTTATTCATTTTTATAAACTACAATAATATTTATTTATGAAGACACTTATACAATTATTTATTATTTTGCATTAAGGAAAGCACTTAGAAAATTTTTTCATGATTATTGTTGTGTATAAATTGTTAAAAACTTGTATCTTACTTAAAGTTATTGATATTAATAATATTTTCCTTATTTAATTTAAATTTTAGATATGAAATATATATTAACCGGGGTCCCTTTTTTTTTTTATCCTGTCCCGGGCCTATAAAATTATAGGACCGGCCCTGCGCGCGCACACACACACACACACACACACACACACACACACACACACACACACACACACACACACACACACACACACACACACACACACACACACACACACACACACAGATTTTTATAGAGATTAATTAATAGATAGTGTTTATATTAGAGATTTTTATATAATATATAGTTTGTACTATTTCAATTTTTTTAAAATTTTATTTGATTGTGTCTGTAGAAAATAAACCCGTATTTGTTTATGGACAGTTATATGATGCTGTATTCAGATTAAGTAACTCAGACGGTCTTAAGATATTAATTTGTGGCGAAACATAAAATAATTGTATTTACTGATGTAGTTTATAAAGAGGTTTTTTTTATAATTTGTAATTTAATTTTTTCTGCCAATAATATTTTTCCCTTTTTGCACAATAACACTTTATTTTTATTAAAATTGTATTTACCCCGTGCATCGCACAAGACAATATCTAGAAAAATACTAATTATGCTCCATATGAGAAAGCAAAATACTAAGTACATACCACCAAAGTTAAAAAATAGGAAAAAAAATGTGATTCAAAAGGCATAGTAAAATAATGATTTAAGGAACAGAATCATTTAAACCCTTTTGTTAAATAGAAAGTCTACATTGTACGTAGCTGTTTCAAGTGTTAGTAATCCAATAAGTTTAAAATTTTTGATTTGTGGCGAACATGTACCATGTCTAAGTACGGCTAAAAAATGTTATGTCCAAAAGAAGTTTTCAACAATGTGTAATAAAACTTCATAGTTGATCATTTCAAATTTATTAGTTTTAAAATTGTATATTTTTTCATCTTATTATATTATACGAAATATTCTATATATATATATATATATATATATATATATATATAGCTGTACATCACACGGGTGCAACTACTAGCTCTATAATAAAGCAACAACTTCTTGCAAATCAATTTCCCCCCAAATAAAAAGCTACCGTTAAGAGCCATAAGACAATTACAATTGTATTAAATGCTATTCACACACTTGGTTGCAAATTCTGAGGAGGCTTAGCCGAAATAACTCTTGATTTTAAGAATAACTTTTGACAATTTGTTAAATTAAACTTAATATATTAACAATAACGAAGAGGTAATAATCTTGAATGGTTTAATGGATGTTCTATGATTTATTGTTGTGGAGTAAAATAGTATTTACATTATAATCATATTTTATATTAAAATATTAAAAGTACTTTTAATACAAAGTCTTAATTTATGAAAAAATAAATTGTTTTAGTAAAGAAATAAAATTTGGTGTAATGGGTTGGAGATAGAAAAAAAAATGATATAAGAATATACAAGGAATATTCCTTATGGTGTAAAATTTGGTGCAGATGCTTAGAGATGGCAATCGTTATTGTGTGGACTATAGTCCACAGAAGCTATGTGGATCATATTTTGTATGTTATAAAATAATGTATATTTAGTACAAAAATAATGTACTTTTAGAATATTAAAAATGTACTTTGTATTCAGAGAAATTATATTATTTGAATACTACAAATATATTATTTTTATAATGTACATTCGGTACAAAAATAATGTACGTTTTAATATATTAAAAATGTACTTTCTTTTATGGTCCATACAACACTATGTGGACCATGGTTCACACAATAATTTGCCTAGAGATAGTTTTAGGGTTAGGAGAAAACATTTTATTAATTGTTTTATTGGGTTCGGGTTATGTGCTACATTATTGGATTAGTTTTGGGTCAGATTATTTAGAAGAAAAAAATGAAAGAAATAAAGTTTGACCCAAGAATTTATTATATTTAGTATATTTGTTTAGTAAAAATTATAAAATAACATTGGTGTAATGGATTGGAGATGGAAATAATTTGATGTAAAAATATACTGAAGCGGTTTGGCGTCTGTTTGGTTTTGATATACAGCTTAGGGCGCTTTCAGTGGAAAGGTTAAGCTTTCACCTTCCTAATCAACAGAGTGTGATATTTGCAAATGATGATGCTGTTGAGAACATTGTTAATAGACCTACTATAGCACAGAGCATGTTTTTGGAATGGTTTGAGGCAAATAAAACATACCCTAATGCAAGAGAACTTACTTATGTTTAGATGCCAACACGATTCGTTTGGAAGAAAGACCTTAGAAAATGGTAGCCACGGAAAAAAGGGTTCTCAATCGGACGTATATTCTATGTCCCGCCAGCTACTGGAGAACTTTTCTATTTGAGGTGTTTGCTGAATAAAATCCGTGACCATGTGTTGGAAGGCCAGATCATGTGCGGTACAAATGCAGGAACCAGAGTATTGATTCCTAGGATGTCACTTACACCGTCAGATCCAAGATTGCCTTTCAAATTTCAACGAAAGCAATTTCCTTTGATGGTATCCTATGCCATGACAATCAACAAAAGTCAAGGACAAACGCTTGCTAAAGTGGGGTTGTTGAAAAAACCTGTCTTTAACCATGGACAACTGTACGTAGCTGTTTCAAGAGTTAGTAATCCCAGGGGTTTGAAAATTTTGATTTGCGGGGAAAGTGTACCATGTCTTAGTACGACTAAAAATGTTGTGTACAAAGAAGTCTTCAATAATGTATAATAACATTCCAGAATTTATTATTTAAAATTTAGTATTTTTTAAAATACTAGGTTTCTTATTCTTATTATATTATTATTATACGTAATATTCTATGTACTATATAGGTACCATGCATCACATTGTTTCAACAATGAAGTCTTCAACAATGTCTAATAAAATTACTATATTCATCAATGTGTAATAAAATCACAAGTTTTTCATTTCACATTTTGTGAGGTTCAAATAACTATATTCTATACTGTATATATATCATACTATATATATAGCCGCGCATCGCGCGGGTGCACCTACTAGTATGAACAAAAAAGAATCAAATCAGAAATCTAAAAGTACTAATCTTAACTTAAAAAAAAATTAGATTACGATTATGATAGAATGATACCCTTTTTTAATTAGGGAATAATTTTTTTTTTTTGAAAATAAGAATAAAATTTTTAATTGAATGGGTAATCAAAATCCATAGTTGTGTTTTAAAAAATTATCAGCTAAATATTAACTATGATTTTGATTCTCATTCCTAATGTGTAAACCTATAAATCAAAAACACCCTAAATTCTTTATAAATCATTATAACAGAGACGTCAATATTTGAGTGCAATGTTATATCTCTTATTAGATTGTCATTATTTGGAGACAGCAATATAAGCGTCACATACTCACATCTGCTAGCATTGCACGTTGTCCCCAAATAACCCGGGAACTGCTGGTAACCGTTTGGTTTCCTTTGAAACTTCTCCCGCTCGGCGCTTACTCTTCAAAACCAGACTTGAAGGTAAAAATCTGTCCTTAATCTCAATCAACATCTCTCTAAAATGGCCATCCAAATGCTGTTTCTCCGCAGTCTCCTCATCCCAATTTTCGCAGCCTCTCTTTTCCTCCCTCTCTCTCTTGCAGAAAAATCTGACATGCCCAAATTTGCATTTGCTTGGTTGAATAACGATGACACTTTTGTGGCTGGGGAAGTGGCCACTATAAAGGTTATAGTGCTCGGGAGCTTTGAGGCCGGCAAATACAAATACCCTTTTAATCCTAACATCACTGCCAATGATAAGACGGGAAATAGCTCCTACATTTCTGGGGTTTCTTCACTGTTTGGTACTGATGTTAACTCCTGGGCCATTTCTTTCATACCCATCATGGCTGGATTGTTCAATGTGCTTATTATGGATGACCATTTCGATGTCTTTGATTCGTCCCTGCATTTTCGAACCACCCCAGGTTTCGATTTCTCATATACATTAGATTGATAGTAACTGTTAAGTGTGCTTTTATCAATCTTTGAAATTTCTAGTTCTTGATTCTCTGTTCAGATGTATATGTTAGTAATCTAACTCAAATTTATCTTTTACACGAGATTGGCAATGAATCTAAGTTCTAGCCATTCCATTCTGCTTGCAGAGTGCTTGTTTCTTTGCTTAATTGAGTTGATGTGCTCTAATTTGAATTTATGGTGTTTTCTATCACTTTAGCCAAACATTGAAAAGTTATTGAGTTCATCTGCTTTCCATTTTTTGAATGTTTTCCTTTAATGTCAATGTTTTTTAGTAATAAGCAATTTGTTAATGAACTTTGCTACTATATGAAGGGCCTTTTTATCCAGCTGCTGGGATTGTGTCATGGTTGGAAGGAGAGAGTGATTTTGTAGCTGGAACAAAAGCTGAGGTTGTTATACTCCCTAAAGATGCATTTGGAAATAATATCTCTTCAGCCGATGATAACACATTGAATTCTTATAATTTCAACTTGTGTGCAACTAGTGCAAATGGTTCCATTGCAAGTTTTCTCAATGTCACGAATAAAGGATGGAACAAGTTTGGCTTTCTAGGTTTGGAATTTATGGTAGCTACAGCTGGAAGTCTCATACTTCACATAGAATTAAATAACCAGACACTGAAGGGCTCTCCACTGCCATTCAAAGTGTTCCCAGGTGATTTTTGATACATCATGGCTTTAATCACCAAAATTATGTGTAATCTTCTTTGTTAGCTTAAACATTATATCTGTATGCTTTTGCTTCATATTCCCTAGCATGAAATATGAGTGTTTCTGATTTTGTTTCTTTTGAAAAGCATTATAATCCTTTAGTTTAGGAGCTTGTCTTTTTTAGATTGGTTGTTTGCATTTATAGTATTTTCTTGCAGGGGCACTGGATGTCTCCAGTTGTGTAGTTCATTGGAATATTGAAACACAATATTTCCAACTATTTTCACTGATGGAGGGTTTCATTCACCAGCACGATCCATATGGAAATCATGTTCCAGGGTTTTATGCATTTGATGCTGAAATCATTGAAAGCGGGACAAATTTGATAATGCCTGTTACTGATCTGCGGTTCACAGAGGCCGGTGTGGGTATACAGTTGTTTTCTTTCAGCCTAGTGGAACCAGGGAACTTTATGCTTGTGATATTTGATAAGGAGCTGAACAACCACATCTCCAACATGCCATATCAATTTACAGTCTACATAGGTGCTCTTGTGTAATATGTCGTGTTATATTTTCAGCATCTTATACTTTCTTCGTTTTTATTGAAAACATATTGAATTGATAGTGATTTTTCCTTTTTTATTGCGTACCGCAAAGCATATTGAATCAATGGTCATTTTTTCTTTTTTACTTCAATCATTAGGTTGATTTTAGTGTATGCCTAATTAATCGTGGGGAGCTCTGTTAGTTTCCTCATACTATGTATTGTCTCAATTGATAGATTTTAAAGAAAAGTCTAAAATTTGTCTGTTAGGTTATTGCAATGGAATGAACAGCATTGTTAACGGGACTGGTCTCAATCATTCAGTAGCTGGTGAAGTTGCAAGGTTTTCCATTTATTTGAAAGATGCTTTTGAATATCCATCTCTAATTGAGTTGGAAATGCTTCAAGTGCAAATTTTACATGAAGTGAATCCCCAGCCTTTGCAGCTAAGCATACATCCAAAAAGGATGGTCAATGGTACAATAATGAGCAGTTGTTCATTGTATCCAGTATATAAGTACCTTGAGATTTCACTAATATAGAGATGTCCCTCTCTTGCACAGGTAGTTTTTCTGCTGGAAAACTCAATCTTACTGAAGCCCATGAAACGGAAAGAACATTTACTCCTCCAGTTGACAAGCATATAAATGTAAGAAACTGCATTAACAGTTTTTCTTGTAGCTATGTATGCCACATATTGGATGTTATTCAAATTTAATTTCGGATGCAGTCATCTGGAAGCATGAGCTTCAGTGTCTTTGATGTCAGTTATACACCTGAAAGGAGTGGAATATATCAAATCTGGATATTTTGTGGAAATATCCCTTTGAATTCTGGTCACCCTTTTAGAAAAGTAGTAAGTCCAGGTATGAAATACGTAGTCTGCATTCATAATATATTTCACTTGCTAAACAAAACGAAGAACAGGTGGAGTAATAAAAGATACATATATACATTGGTATCTGTTGAATATTAGGAAATCTTTATTGAATATTAAGAAACTCCTAGTCGGAGTGAGTTTAGTTTCCTATTCCTATTAGGATTGATTTAGTATATATAGTTTAGTATATATAGAGGTATAGAGTACATGGAGAGACAATCTATTGTAATCTTTCATTATAATATATTCTTTCTATTCTCTTCTTCTTTGGCTTCTCACATAATTTGCTTCCGCCTAACAGGCGAGTGTTTGTTATTCTCCACTTGCCAGGCCTTTCAATCTCTCAATTTCAACATGGTATCAGAGCCTAAACTCTAGTTTAAACCCTAAAAGTAAATCCCTTTTATTCGGTTATCGTCGCTGCTGTCGCCACCACTGTCGCGGCTGTCTTTCCTAGCTCCGACGTGCCTACTGGTTGTTCCAATCTTTCATCACTGGACTCCTTGGAACCTCGTCGCGATCCTACACCTGAAGACCTGTCTCCAATCTCCGCCTCACGCACTGCCATTGTCATTGGAAGTTTTCTCGGATTTCTGGCCAGATCTCCTTTTCTTCGGTGATTTTTTGGTCTCACCTCCTACACCTTTGGATTCCTCTCCTCTTGGAGACCTAACCTGGAAAATTTTGTCGTCATCCTGCTCTGCTGCAGGCGTCGTGCGCCGGCGCGTGTGTTTGTCCTCTGATGTACTTTTCCAGTGAAAATTTTCCAGATTGTTGTTTTGCCCTACTTTGGACCTTTTTGGTGAAATTTGAAGGCTTTTTGGGTTTGTTGTCAAACTTCTTCCCAGGGTGTTTTGGTATAACCGTGCTTGTTTGTTATGTTCTCGGACAAAGGCACGCGTCAAAGGGCGATTAGGGTTATTGGGGATGTCTATGTTGAGAGATAAATTTAAGGAACAAAGATAATAGGAACGTTTTGAGAGTTTTCTCACCTCTTGATTTTAACTTAACTTCTTTCTTGCTTGTTATTTTATTAGAATGAAAATCCCCTTTATATAAGAGGGTTACAAAGACTAGTAAAACATAAAAAGGAAAGAAGATTCATTAAAGCTCCTTACCATAATTATTTCCTATCTCTATAGGAAATAAATCAATTCAAATAGTAAGGATATAAATCAATTCTAATAATAAAGATATTTCCTTAATCATATCATTACTCCCCTCTTGGACATCAAGCTTGAGAACCTCGTGCAGCACGTAGCCAATACCACCCACAATCAAATGGCATCCCCAAAAGAAGTGCAAAGGGAAAAGCCTCAAGTGGCATTCTACGAATCAATGGAGGAGCGAAGTCAGCGAACAGTGGTGAGGAAGACCCCAAACTTGGAAATCCTTTGAAGGAGTTAGTTGGAACAACAACATTAGATGATGAGGTAGACACCAACGATGAAGATTGACCAATACCATATAACACAACCCTTAAATGAGATGGGGTTGGAGAGTGGTGAAATAACCATCCTAGCTACGCATAGGACAGTTTTTGGAAAGGGTACAACCTCAATTTCAGCAGCCTTTTGTGTTGAAACCACATGAGGCTCATTGGCTGAAGCAGTTGCTTGCAATGACGCTATCTCCACATGTGGGTGCTCAACAATGATTGTGGATGGAGTGGGATCTGGCGGCGTTAGGATGACAGCTTCTGGAGTGGCGTGGCTAGCGATAGAGTGCATGACAGCAGTGGAGCTCGTTGTGGGATGGTTGGTTCGCAAAAAAAGAGTTCATAACTGTCGTGAGGTGTGCGATGGCTTCAGACAGAGTATTAACGATTGCTGGTAATTCTTCAAGTTTTTGCACGGTTAAGTGGATGTGTCGCATCTCCTCCTGGAGCTTTTTGATATCGCCCATACTGACTTCTCGGCAACAGAACCAAAATGTTATGTTCTCGGGCGAAGGCACGCGTCAAAGGGTGATTAGGGTTATTGGGGATGTCTATGTTGAGAGATAAATTTAAGGAACAAAGATAATAGAAACGTTTTGAGAGTTTTCCCACCTCTTGATTTTAACTTAACTTCTTTCTTGCTTGTTATTTTATTAGAGTGAAAATCCCCTTTATATAAGAGGGTTACAAAGACTAGTAAAACATAAAAAGGAAAGGAGAATCATTAAAGCTCCTTACCATAATTATTTCCTATCTCTATAGGAAATAAATCAATTCTAATAGTAAGGATAATAAATCAATTCTAATAATAAAGATATTTAATCATATCATTGTTTCTTATCTCCGGTGTGCCTTATCCCATGGGTGTTCAGTTTCAGTACTAATATAAAGGCCTTTGATTATTTCCATGTTTGAAGTAAGGGGGAGTGTGATTATCTACCATCACGTTGCTTTGGGTTTATCTTCATTACTATGGGTTCTACTGCATCCTTTGCTATTCTTTTCTCCCTTTCGCCTCTACCACTCTTGATGAAGGCTTTGTTGGCATGTCCAAGAGTGTTTCTGTTGTGTTATCTTTGAGGCTGCTCATGTTCAACTCTTTCCTTGGTGCATTCATCTTCATTCCCAAGGATCGTGTTCAACTCCGTCCTTGGTGTGTTTATTCCCAAGACCGTGTTCAGCTCCGTCCTTGGTGTGTTCATCTTTATTCCCAAGGATGTGTTCAACTCCATTCTTGGTGCATTCGTCTTCATTCCCAAGGAAGGGTCAGGACTCAGGCATAGCGCCATCTCTTTTGAAGCTGTCCAACACTTATCCTCTAGCTGCATAATCTTCATTTGTAATTTTGAGTGAGGTAGAGTGCTTATTTTAATCCAAGTTGGGAACTTTCTAAGATGTTTCAGCTTGCGGGGGAGTGTTGAATATGAGGAAACCTTTATTGAATATTAGGAAACTCCTAGTAGGAGTAGGCTTAGTTTCCTATTCCTATTAGGATTGATTTAGTATATATAGAGTACACAGATAGAAAATCTATTGTAATCTTTCATTATTATATATTCTCTCTATTCTCTTCTTCTTTGGTTTCTCACATATTTTGCTTCCGCCTAATAGGCAGGTAGTTGTTATTCTCCACTTGCCAGGCCTTTCAATCCTTCCATTTCAACAGTATCCATCCTTTGTTTAGAGAAGTTCAAGTTTCAGGATACATTTATAAAAATACTATGGTTGCATTGATTGGATGCAGGCAGGGTTAATGCATCTCTCTCAGGGGTTGTGAAATTCGCTCCCAAAGTAGCAAAGCTGATGAAGAACAATATCACTGTACAGCTCGTTGATTCATATACAAACCCAATCCTCTTACAACAGTCTAAGTTAAAACTAGAGATTGCTTCGATCAATAGATCAGGTTTTTTGACGTGGATGTTTGTTGACAATAAGGACGGTTCATATACTGGTAGCTATATGGGCATGGATACTGGAACATATGAGATATGTGCCTCATTTGATGGGAACCGTTTCTTTCCATGCCCCTTTGGTGTGGCTGTGTACACTAGTAAGTTTCTTTCCATGCAAGTGTGATGCTTAGTGCATTTTGTATTAATGATGCAGGAGTATTCCATATTGGATCCAATCTTTTCCACTAGTGCTTTAATTAACATTTCTTATGTATATTCCCCCTTGCTAACTTTTCCCCCGTGAATAGGTGAATATTTTCCTATAGTATATAATGATGTAGTCTGTTTGTGGGAGGATGAATCAATTGCTTTTGATGCTCTGGAAAATGACTACTTTGCCGGTGATAATGCAACAATTTATGAATTTTCAAAGGTGATGTGAATCTGTCAGTTCTAGTCATCTACTACATTCAAATAGGGCATTGCATAAAGTACTGACTGCTTCTTGTTTGGCAATTGCTCGAGTTTATTCATTACACTGAATGTTTTTTGTTTTTTTTCTTCAAATAAACTATTTGGTGGCAGCCTAGTCATGGTTCACTTCTACAGTATGGACATCTCTTTAGATATACTCCTTATAAAGGATTTACCGGGAACGATTCATTCTCGTACACAATATCTGATACAAATGGCAACCTTGCTTCTGGAAGTGTTAATATATCAATCCTCAGCATCCCCCCTCAATTTGTTTCTTACCCAAGTCAGCTCCAAGCCACCGAAGATGTAATTAGTCCAAGATTTGGGTAAAAAGTTACTCTTGAAGATATGAGAAAAATGCTTAACACATCTTTGTAACAAGAGGTCAAGATCTGGGGCATGAATATCTTGATGAGATAATTTTTAAATTTTCTATTATTTTTGTTTTCAGTGGCTTTGCTGGGATTGAGATCATATATTCAGATTCAACTGAGAACATCAGCATTAGTCTCAGTGCAAAATCTGGGACAGTCCTCCTTTGTCCTATGCTAATGCAATTTTGGCAGCCTAACCAGATAGTATCTTCTTCTATGAACAAAGATGATGAAGGGAAGGCTAAAGAGTTAACTTTATCAGGAAGTTTGGAAGTAGTCAATTTTGCCATTCAATCAATTCAGTATTATGGGTATTTTATTTTGAACTTAGAACACTAGTCATTTTTCTAGTGTTACTAGTAGGATGTATATATATATATCTTGAGAAATTAGGAAATTAAACCTTTTTTCTTATTCATCTCCAGTAACATGCTTTGCTAACTTGTTTGTTTCCTTGGAATTAGGAATGGAAACTTCTGTGGGATTGATACCATAAGAGTTTGTACTATTAACAGAAATGGAAAGAATGATTTAGATATCCCGATATTTGTGGAGCCAATCAATGATCCTCCATTCATAAATGTCCCTTCATATGTTTTCTTGGATCAAAGAGTTGATGAAGAAGTAATTTTTGATATGCAAAAAAACAAATTTGAAGCCTTCATTGGAGATCCAGATCTACTCAACTTTCCTGGTATGAATAGGAAAATGAGAAATTAATCCACAGAATTTAATATTAGATGAATTTTACGTACATTGAGAAGTTTATATTATGAAATTTAGGTAATGGTTGCTTAAAAATTTGTTTATAATTTAAGAATTCATCAGATAATACATTTTCAGATTTATAAACTTCTTAACTGTTTGCCTGATATTATTATGTGTAGGAAATAAGTCGCGTTTTGTGGTTATGTTGAGCATGGAAGTGAGCTCTGGGTTTCTGTCAACAAACCTTCCAGCTGAGCTTATTCGCACTACTGAACTGAAGCTGAAGAGTAGTTATCAGTGGCAGCCAGTTCAGACATTTGTAACCATCTCGAAACACTTTGCAGTTAATAAAGCAAAAGGCATTAGATTTCGTGGAACACTTGACGACTGCAACAGTATCATGGAGCAATTGGTTTATCATCATGTATGCATGCATTATATATATTATGAAAACGAACTTTGAATTGGAATAGAAAGTCCCTCCCTCCCTGAATAGTTATATATTTCCTAATATAATGAAATAATTTTGTTAATGAGAAAATCCAGGGAGGAGAAAATTGTGCTGTTTTGAGTGTGAGTGTAAATGATATGGGGAACTATGGGTGCTATCCTGAGTGTGCAGAGATGATGTCAATGCCTCTTTATGTAGAGGCCACTGTAAATATTGTCAGAAGAAGACCAATGAATGCTTTTCTGGCTCATGGTAAACTAAACTTATCATAAGCATTATGGATAGATGATGCAAAGGCATTGTGAATTTCCTACTACTTTAACTTGGGCATATAATATGTGTTTGTTTACCCTTTTGCAGCTCTAGGGGCAGCAATTATTATGGAATTCATTTTTGTGTTTTCTCTGGGAGTGTTGCTTCTGTTCTTCATCTGCAAGTGTGCGATTTCCCTCGTTAAAGAAAGAAGGAAGAAGAAGAAGGCGGCGCCAGAGATTGAACTCGTGACGATTCAGAAATCCCATGAATGCAGTAGTGTGAGTGAGTTGTCTTGATTGGCTTCTTCATATATGTTTTCTTGATCTTCATATTCATATACTACTTAAACCTTGTCCATTTTGTATTTGCAGACAAGCAGGAATGTATCTCACAATGTTGGCTGCTCTTCTACTTCCTTCTTGCTCACAACTTGGCCTTCCCACTTCCGCCAAAGGTAGTATTATAATTTATTACTCGCCCAAACAACATATATTATATGACTTAATACCTAATTTGGCCCGTTGCCTATTAGGATTTCACCACTTTGGTTCTGGATTATTAAAGTTGCTCTATTTAGTCTTTAACTATGCAATTTTTACTTAAAATGATCTCTCGACTATTAGGATTTCACTATTTTGGTCATCGACTACCAAAGTTGCTCAATTTAGTCTCTTACTATGCAATTTTCACTTAAAATGATCCCTCGACTATTAAGATTAACCACTTTGGTCCTCGACTCTCCAAAAAGGTCCCCAAATCCACACTAAACGTACATTTTATGTTTACCATTTGCATAGTTGGGACTAAATTAAATACCTTTGGTAGTTAAGGACTAATAGTCGAAGGGCCATTTTAGGTACCTTTGGTAGTTAAGGACTAATAGTCGAAGGGTCATTTTAAGTAAAAATTGTATAGTCAACTAAAGTGATTTGAAACTTTAATAGTCAAGGGACCATTTAAAGTAAAATTACATTCTTAGAAATTAAATTAAACAACTTTAATAATTGAAAACCAAATTGGTGTAATTCTAATAGTCGAAAGACGAAATTGGATATTAACTCTATTATATTCAAACCACATTTCAATTCTCAAACGGTTCTTGTTGTATTGCGGTAATCATCATATATACTATAAAAATGTTCAGGTCTCGGAAAAAGCCGGAAATGGGAGAATCTTCCCAGGCCGCCCACTCAGTTTATCTCCCCTAATCTGTCAAGCGTATCAAATCGTAGGCATTTCTTATATCTTTTAGTTGTGTATTAATTGATTAAAGTTAATTTCATCCGATTTAGTTTTTTTTTTTTGAAAATTACTGGCTCTATCTGTTCATATACTTTCTCAACCTATTGAAACACAAAGAACCAATAACGCCTCCACTGAGGCTCGAACTTATAATCTTCCAAATGAAAGTCCAACCCGGATACCATTGGACCACTAATTTCATCCGATTTAGTTAAATATATTGTTCAATGTCTATTATATATATATATATATATATATATATATATATATATATATATATATATATATATAGGGACGCACTCAGGTGCGAATAAGTGCCCAGGAAGGAAATACGAACGAATCCGCGCGCGACACGTGTCCAGATCTAATAACTTAAAAAAAATGCGGTGGCATTTTCGTAAATAATTGAACATCGAAGTGCAAGTAAAATCTCTTATAAGTGCACCTATTTTCACCTATACGTGCATGTAATTTTGCCTTGTTAGCATTCACTTTCCGCAACCATTCATGCACCTGGGTGTGCTTATAATTATATGTGCAACTATTTATAACTATAGGTGCAACTACTTATAACTATAGGTGCAACTACTTTCACCTATAAGTGCATGTAATTTTGTCTTGTTAAAATTCATTGATCTGAGTTCAGCGGGTAGTAATACTCCTGAAAACCACTCGCAAACATTCATACACCTAGATGCAACTACTTATACCTACGTGTGCAACTACTTAGAACTATAGGTGCAACTACTTAGAACTATAAGTGCAACTAAGTATTGATGCTCAGTGTAAATTTTTACTTGGACCTATAATACATTTTACATGCACTTGTAATACATTTTACTTGCACTTCGATGTTCAATTATTTACGAAAATGCCACCGCGTTTTTTAAAAAAATCAGTGTTTCTCATCCATTAGATCTGGACACGTGGACGAACAGAATCCATTCCTATTTCGCGCCTGGGCGAGCCGTTCGCACCCGAGTGCAAGTCTATATATATATATATATATATATATATATATATATATATATTACAATAGTTTTGGCTCAAGTGCCATTCCATACCATGAACAAATAGTGATTCTTCATGCCTTATCTTGACTTTTTATAAGTGCTGATTGGATGCATAAATCAATTTTTTTTTTCTATCTAGAATTTTTCATTGGTTGTCCTGTAAACTTGATGACATGAAGCCGATAGCATCTAACGTGGCCTTATTAAAAATGAGAGATAGGAGTCCATGTAAGCATTTTTTTAATTAAAAAAAAAAAAAACTGACTCTACTACCGTGACCTTCGCCTCTCTCATCCTTTTGCTCTCTTTCTCTCTCGCTGTCTGGACGAAGAAGGAACAACAGATGGGAGTGAGCTCCGTCGTTCCCTTCCGACGAAGCAAGCAAGACGATGGCCAGCTCCCCTCCCTTCTCATGTTTCTCTCTTCATCTTTGCCCCTCTTCCTCGTTAATGGCAGCACGGCGCCAGCAGCAAGCAGATCCGGCGACTCCTTGGACGGTGGTGGTTGGCAGTGTCTAGAAGCAGCGATGGGACGAGTTCCGTCATTTTCCCCGCTCCTCTCATCTGAAGCGGTTGTCTCCAGAAATCCTCTGGTGTCGTTTCCCGGCTGAGGCCACGTCGGTGGTGGTGCTGATAGGCTGCGTCTTCGTGTTGGTGTGGCGGCGAGCGTCCTCGTCGGCAAAGAAGGCCGGTCGGAGATCAGTTCGCACAACGGAGATTGTCGTCGACAACTTGCCATCACCGTTGTTGGTCACCGATGAAGAGTTGACTGATTTGAATAGACTGCCCCAGAATCTAAGCACTGTGGTTGAAGCCTTGACGGCGTTCATGCGGATTATCAGCTCTGGGAAGGAGTCGCTAAGGAAAATTCTTGTTAGCGGTGAGTTTGATGAGTACCCTGATGAGAAAGAAATGCATTGCACGACACAATTGGTGGAAATGCTTAATGAGTTGCGGGAAACTGGTTGGAGGCAAAAGAAATTGGGCTCCCCAATTTTCTTCTATGTAGAGTGTTCTTTAGCGTTTTGCAGAGAAGGGTGAAAGTGATATCGACAAGGCCACAAGATTTTGTGGGACTATATTGAGAAAATAGTGGTGTACAGTTTTGATGCAACATGCTGATAGAGTGATAGTTACCCACAGCTTCAGTCTTCCATGCGAAGAGCTTCACAGAATTTGATTGCAAAGATGAAACAAAAGTCTGTTGATTAGGTGGTACGGTGGAAATAATCGGAATGGAAATGATGGCTTCGCATTGGGTGCTTTGAGCGGCGGTAGTGACTGATGACCTTGGACTCCTCTTCCTGCGACTCATGGGAAAAAGACTAAAATAGGACAAATAGGCTTCCCATTTCCCAAGCTTATTTTTTGTGGACAATTTTGTGAAAATATCATTTGGGACATGCGTTTTAGGCATGTCCCAGCTATTTTTTTTTTTTTTTTTTTGTTTTTATTTTTTTAACCGTTTCCAAAGACGCAAATGGGATTTGCGTCGAAGGTATTGTATACGTCAAACGCATTACGTAAATACGTTTGACGTAGATTATTAGTATACGGTAAAACGCATGTAAGAGATATGTTGCTTTACTGGAATTGGGAACCTGTGAGCAGAACTGACTATTGTTCGCTCATTTATCATTCCAACTTCTTTACATACGCGCTCAAGAATCATTAGGAAGTCCCTCACCACCATGAAAATTCTGAAAGGGTGAGCCTCTTCTTTGGCTGAATTCCCATGGAAGTATTCAGTTATCTCCTTCACGAGAGACATGACTACGCTTTCTAAGGCTTGGAGTTTTATAATCTCTTCCTCAGCCATTTTTGTGAATCGGTTCATTGATTCAGAAAACTTTTGGCTGTAGCTTTCATCCAAAACCATCCCTTCGTTCAACCGTACAACCTCTGTAATGTTAACGATCCCTTTAGAGAGCTTTTTACTTGGAACGCAATTTCCACACGCGGGTTCCCATTGTCCTCCGGCAACTGACTGACTACTAAAATGCATGTAGGAAATGCGTTTGACGTATAATACTCCAAACGCATCTCTTACATGCGTTTTACCGTATACTAATAATCTACGTCAAACGCATTTACGTAATGCGTTTGACGTATACAATACCTCCGACGCAAATCCCATTTGCGTCTTTGGAAACGGTTAAAAAAAAAAAAAAAAAACAGCTGGGACATGCCTAAAACGCATGTCCCAAACGATGTTTTTACAAAATTGTCCACAAAAAATAAGCGTCATATTTTGGGAAATGGGAAGCCTATTTGTCCTATTTCAGTCTTTTTCCCTGTGCTTGTGGGTGGTTGGCAGAGTTGATGATGGTGAGAAGCAGCTGGACGAGTTGGAGAAGAAGATGGAGGGCGAGAAGACTGTGTTGATGAAAAAAAAAGAAGAAAAAAATCCATGTCACTAATTATCACCTGCAATCTATAGGTAACATGTGAAAAGTTTTAAATAGAAAAAATAATTGAATGTGCATCGAATCAGCACTTATAAAAGATCAGCGTATAACATGAAGAATCGCTATTAGTTCATTGTGCGGAATAGCACTTTAGCCAACCATTTTCGTTATGGAATGTTTAATTATATATTAGGTAGCATGGATTGGGATCGCTGAGTTATAGAGACTTTTTTAAGGAAAGAATTTATTTTGTTTTCTTTTTAAAACTCTTCTAGTATGTATATGAAAAATGGTATACGTACTTGTAATTTTGCATTTTCTCAGTTTAAGATTATTATTAGAGATAATTGACTGATGTATTGGACTGACTGAATCAGAGACATGAATTGTCCGTCAGTTAGATTGCAGAGTAGTTTGTAGAGGAAAAACTAGAGCAGATAATAAAACAACACATACGATGTTTACCCAGTTCGCTACAGTGTGTATCTACATCTGGGGGACGATCACCGATGCGTTCAATCCACTAACTCATGATCCAATGTACAAAGGTAGAGAAACAACAATCTCACCCAAGTGCCCCACACAAGGTACGTACCCAATCTACAAAGGTTTAGTGGATTGTTGAAGTCGGAGAGCCACGCATGCAGAAGTCCAATGAAATCCCTTCAATTGGAGAGCTAACTCTGATGCAGTCCGCTTCAATGACGCAGTCCCACGTTGTTCCTACAATTGAGTGATCTTCGCGTCCTTTCGTTTAAGCAACGATAGTTCTTCTCAAGTTCTTCATCATAATCACAAAGAAGTTATTGTCTTGAGAAGAGGCATTAGATCAAAGATATATGTCTCTCAATAGCATGGAGTGTTTTCGTCTTCTTAAAATCGTAACCCTAATTCTTGACCGAATAAGGATACTTATAAGCTTGGTAAGAACACTCCCCATAAATATCTTTGATTGTAGATGGTAGGACAAATTGTGAAGAATGCAATCTTAAAGATTCGGTCCATACCTTCCAAAACAGATTTGCTGATTTTCTTTCCAAAACTGTCTTCTCAAACCGCGTTCAGCATTTTGGAGACATCTTCCTTTATCAGATCTTCAGTGTCAGTGCGTCTGCTGATGAACCTGATCAATCAGTCTTCTGTAACAATAAATAGACACCAAGCTAAACCCTATCTTAGTTTGCCATAATAATATTGTCAATTATATGTTGGGATTTTTTGGAGAAAATAAAAACACTAACAGTACTCTTATGGAGTATAATTCCTGCCACATATACAAAATCTTGATATAAATATTGTATTGGGACCATATGAAAAAAGTATCTTATCAGTGCCCACCACATCAGGAAGTAAAATTTAGGGGGTAAAATACTCTTAAATGAATCAAATGATGACAGATCAACATGAAATAAAAAGTGGGAGGACATGTAGTATTACTCCATGTATATAATGAGCTATTATCCATTTATCCTGTCTAATTACAATTCAAAAACCTTTTCTTCACCTTCTTACATGGTATATGAGCCTATACCAAAAAAAAAAAAGTTTTTCTTTCCCCGATTTGTTGTTGTCACCGCCGATATGAGGAGCGTCAGTGTCCAGTGACCGTATTTGATAAACTTGACGTTGATATTGTCATCTATTGCCCTTCTCCCAAGCGTCGGCGTCTGACAATTTTTTGGTGACTGAATTTTTTTTTCACCAACTATTCTTGGGTCAACTGAGTTCGTATACCTCAGTGATGGATTTGATTTGAACCATTGCATCTTCGGTGTCTTTCGCATCCACAATCAATTTGCCTCGTACACATTCAGGCTTGGGCTTTGTGTCCTTTGTGATCTAATTTTTTTTTTTTGCTAGTATTTTTTAATCAAGTATGATTGAAAATAAATTTGTTTGTTGTGACTATGTTGTTTCAGTGACTTCCAAAATCACAAATTGTAAAGTTAATGGACCTAATTATTTGGAGTAGAGATGAAAATAGGCCAGACTCCTTCATAGGGGCAAATTATATCATGCACCGCGCGTCAGACACTACAGTGTGTTTAAATCGACACTGTCAAAACGACGTCGTTTTATTTAATGAAAAGAAACAGAATCTTCGCAAAAAATAACTCTGTTCTTCAGTTTCATTTTGTATACACTGCAGTTTCAGTTAACGCAACTACAGTTTCATTTCGATATAACTATAGTTTCATTCAATATTTATACACTCAAATATGTGAAAATGTTATTTAATTTTATTTTATATACACTATAATTTCATTAAAACACAACTATATGATCATTTGAATATAATTACAGCTTCATTGTACAATATACACTCAAATATGTGAAATGCTATTCAGTTTCATTTTATATATACTGTAGTTTCATTTCACCACAACCACAGTATCATTTTGATATAACTGTAGTTTCATTTGATAATATAAAAATAATACGTGAGCCAGTGTCGATTTAGACACACTGTAGTGTCTGACACGCAGTGCATGATATAACGACCCTTCATAGGGGCATATGGCCTGGCTTGGTTTGGGCTTGGCTTATGTAGTAGAAAAGGCCAAGTTTAGGCTTATTTTAAAGTGACCTAGCCTATATGCAAGCCTACACGTCTGGCCTATTTAGTTTTTTTTTTTTTTAAATATTTTTTAATGACCTATATATTAAATAGGCTTTTAAACATGCTTCATGCTAGGCCAGACCAATTGTAAACTCAAGCTTGAGCTTTAAAAAAAAAAAAAAAAAAAAAAAAAAAAAAAAAGAGAAGCTTACGCCAATGCCCATGCTCATGCCTTTTTAGATTTCTATAACAGGCTCAAGCTTAATTTTCTAAAGCCTGGTTCGACCCAGCCTATTTTCATCCATAATTTGGAGTGGAATAATTTTATTAAGCTTTATCTCAATAGTGTGGGTAAAGAGGATCACCTAACTAAGACTTTGTATGATGAAGATAGTGTTTGGGTGTTGGATGATGCACGTCTGTTTTTTCAAATCCGAAATTCAATTGATAATGGTATTGTTGGATTCATTAGTCATTCTTAGGGGTGAGCACGAAGTAGATTGGAGTGGATTTGAGTTCCATGTGAAGTCGGGTCGCCTGGTACCGATTCTAGGGGGATGAGAAGAAAGAGTGCCCGCTTTAAGCCATATAGCGGAGAGATGTCCATGCCATACTCCATTTTATTTTGAGTTGGGTCTTGGCGTATAAGGATGGAAAGGGTTTAGTGTAACACCCCACTTTTCTTAAATCTAAATCCCAAAATACTTAACTCAATAAGGTAAGCTAAACAAGATTAAAAGAAAGATTCGATAACTTAATTCAACCAAAACCATCCAACGGGTGTTACCGCCACAGCCACTGCCCGCGGTGACTTCACAGGCTAAAAAGGAGATTGAAAGAAGATGTTAACACTTAACACTATATATTTGGTAAAATGCACCAATTGGATTAACTTGCTATGAGAATGGGATCTAATCCTAATTCGAAATTCAATGTCCATAAGAACGACATTATTGACATTTAGTAGTATTTTCCATGATCCTTGTTAATTCATAACATGACCCATATCATAGGAAAAATATATAGTATCTACGCAAGAGTAGTTTGATCCAAGCCCCTTTTATCTATCATTTGTTAATTGCTTTGCTATTTTGCGTTATACTTAATTGTTCTTTAGTGTCTTGTAAGTTGTAACTCAACTATTTGAATTAGCTTCCAAACACTAGATACTTTTGTGATTAACAACTTACTATTCGCTCATTTTCAGTTCACTCCTCCAATATCCAGTGTACCCTTTCACACACTAAACCTACCACTAAAATTCAACTTTCAAAAGTAGTCCACGCAAACGTACAATTTCAATACAAAACTTTTGGACATAGAATGGGCTCCAAGTTTTCAAGGAATGGGGGTTTAATTTTATAATGTGTTAGTCGAGTTGGGAGGGAAGGTGGTGCGGAAAGTAGTTTATAGTGGGAGGGCGAGAGAAAGGGCGCTATGAGAGGTTACTCTATGATGCAAAGATAAAAGGGGTGACTCCTATTACTTTATATTTTATGTTCTTGTATTTTAGCGGGTACTGTTATTAAGTGCTCATGAATCATATTATATTTTTTTTTACAAGAATTTAAATTATTTTTTCAAAATAACTTTGAAGTCTAATTTTTTTTTTTTTTAAAAAAAATTGGGCATATACATCTGATAGCCGAAGCCCATCTCTGGTAGCTAAAATTTATTTGTTTAGGACTTAGGTCCATATATACTCAAAATGTATTTACTAATAAAATAAAATGATATTACACTCTTTAAAATTCTGAATGTCAAATTTAAAAAATTCAGTAGTGTATTAGACTATAAGTCTATTAGTTATAATACAAACTACTTCAACAAAAGTTGGATACATACAACATTGACAAGTAGCCACATATTACATAAGAATGTAGCTCCATACAAATTATAAAGTTTGGTTTCATGTTTTTCTTGCTGAATCCGAGTAATGACCGTACCCCATGTGGCCATGTCGTCCACGCTCAAATGTGTGATAAATTGTGCTCTATTCCTCCGAGCTTTCGTCCTCAAAATGGAAACCAAATAAGAAACATGAAGAGAATAAACTTAAATTTAAAGAAAATACATCATTGAATCATTAGGCTCAAAATATATATAGGTTTCGTTGCAAAATCCACAAATTAAATTACAGAATATTACCTTCAAGGAAATGTACAATAATCACGTATAACAAGTTTAGTGTATCCAAAGCACTCCAATTGCTCTTCTTGTATTTGTTTAGCAGAAGTAACAAGGGAAGAGTCACATCGAGTCAACTCAATTAACTGTAATGTTGTAACATCAACAAATTCAGTAGGAAATTTTTTCAATTTCCTACAGAAATCAAGTATTAGACATTCAAGAACGGGAAAACTAGCACTCCAATGCTCGAAATCTATCACTGCAATTTCCAAGTACTTTAATTTGAAAAATCCATTCTCTGTTGTTTTCCACTTTGAGCCACAGAAAGCTTTATGTTTCAATTTTAGAGCCTCAAGGTTGGGCAATGTGGCAATAATAACCATATCATCCCATGGAAGGCAAGTTCGTTGAAGTGTCAACTTCTTGAAGTTTGGTGAAAAAGATGTCGGAAGTCGAAAGGCATCTTGAAAATTAATTTTTTGTGGTAGATCAATTTTAAGTTCTCCAATTGATGCAAATTGCAAAGAACATTGAGCCAATCATATGGCCAGGAAGGGCCCTCACTTAAAAGCTCAGACTTTGAAACAGAGTTGATGTCAATGTAAATTCCTAGTTTTTTCACATGTGGAATTTTTTTGAAATTTTCCATACTATGCCAACAACGCTGAGCACATAGATATAAGCAAGAGATAGTTTGCAGGTTATAATGAACACTCCAACTTGGAAGATAAACCGATGACTTACGGAACATAACATGCCTTAGTTGGGGCATATTGTCCAAAATATCAATTGGTGACTCCCAAACCTCCCCTGGAGCATTAGGTCCAATGGTTTCAACAATGAAGGTCTTCAAACATTGAAGCATAACCCATTTGTAATCTTTAAGGGGTGCATTAGTTCTCAAGGCTAAGTATCTCAAAGAAACAAGATTCACTATTTCACTTGGTATGTCAACCAAATCACAAAGACTTAAGTCCAACACCCTTAACAATTTAGGATAGGAGGGAAATGTTTGAGAGGAGTAATTGGCCAATAATTCAAAAGCCTTATGAAAATATAGAATGGAACGGAATTCCTGATGAGATGTGAGAGGAATAGTAATGGGAGAATCCAAATGGATGGACCGATTGCTGATCCAACGGTAAGGTTTTTTATCCAAACCTGTTGACTTGAGCATGCGAGTTTTGGATCGAAGCTTTTGTATCCAAGATTTTGCTAATCCAAGATTTTGAACTCTAGCCACCTCAACATTATTTTCATTTATAACATCTAGAAGCTTTTCCCTCCGTGCTTCTCCCAAGAAAAAGTTATGCAATAGGTCATGACAATACTTGATTTTTCCAACACAACTCCACCTAACAATTTGAACTAGACCTCTATCTACAAGATCCTGCAAGTAAATCTCGCCTAATTTTTCCATGGTTCTACCACTATCTAACTTTAAGAATCCTTCTGCAACCCAAAGCATAATCAATTTTTTCACACAAATCATACTATCTTCTGGGTAAACACCAAAATATAGAAAACAAACTTTCAAGTGCAGAGGTAAGTGGTCATAACTTAGTGAAAGTATTTTTGAACATTTTTCTTCCTGATGTGTGTTAAGAAATGAATTCAAATTTTCAGCAATATTCCCCCACTGGGTTGGTGATGGGTCATTGAATGAGGTGAGAAGCCCAGCAACCACAATAATTGTTAGAGGTAATCCTTGACATTTTTCAACAATACCTCTACCCATTGTCTCAAATTCAATGGAGACATTTCTTTCTTCAAATACTTTCTTGTAAAATAAACTCCAACTTTCATGGGAATTTAGGAAGCGCATGTAATGAAGATTATTGTTACCTGAGCCTGCAGAATATTCAGCCACTTGTTTGAGCCGTGTAGTCAACAATATTCGACTTCCATTGAAGTTTTCTGGAAAACATCTTTGGATGTCATCCCATGCCTTGGTGTCCCATATATCATCCATAACTATTAAGTATCTCTGACCCATCAACTTTTGACGCAGTTGATTTGCAAGATGATTGTTGTCTACTCCATTGGTAACATTAGAACTGAGAAGGCCAATGAGCATTTGTGTGAGGTTATGGTGTTGAGATATTGTAGCCCATGCTCGAACATCAAAATAACTAACAATTGTTGGATCTTTATAGACTTTTTTAATCAAAGTAGTCTTGCCGATGCCTCCCATCCCCACAAGTGAGATGACTTGGAGTGGTTTTGATAGTGAAGTGAGCTTGCACACTATGGTATCAAATTGATCTTCACATCCTACCATTACATTATTCTCGGGCATTGAAGAAGAACGTTTAGAGAAACTAGCAACTTGGATATTCTCTATTCTGTTTCTTCTTTGCGGCTCTGCAGCAGAATGGTTGTTTTTGCTCTCAATATGAATATTCCTCCCTTCAATTGATGCAGTATTCCGCTTTTCTTCTTTCAAGGTCTGATAAAGACTCTGAGGAGGCATAACTATGCTGATTTTGCTCATAATCTGAATTCTCCGTCCAATTGATTTAATTTTTCGATTTACTTGTTCCAAGGTCTGATAAAGAGTCTGAGGAGGGTTAACTCTGCGGCCTGACTGCTTAGCTTGTACATCAAATAAAGTTGATGTAATTCTGGTTCGATTTTGTCTTCTGCATCGCGAGCCACCCCTATGATCTATCTCTGACTCCAAGGCTCTCCTTGTCTTCTTGTTGTGAGAATCCTCCAAAAAGGCTTGCAAATTTCGAATCATGTAACACAAAGATGCCGTCCGCCAACTCTCAAAAGAACACAGTAGATTAATCTCTACTGTATTTAGTAGAGAAGTGATAAGAACGAAATCCATTATATTATATTCAAGATATATGGATCTATCAGAGTTGAGCTGAGCAAAATAAAATCTATGTTTCAGAATCTCAAAGAGATGAAGCAACTGAATGGATCTGATATATATCATATTCTTTGGTCAATAGTAAGTTTACTCAGCTTAGCTTAGCTGTGACTTGTGAGGCATCATAATTTGACGATGGAGGAGTGTTTGTCAACAAAACTGCAAGTATTCTTCCAATGAAGTCTACCGACAGAGTATAGAGAGAGATCTGTAATAAAACAAAATATATATAAAACATACATAATTTCTACATACAATTCCTTTAATTTTATAATTAAGGCAATAAATAAATAATATAATTGCAAAGTGACTCGAGTCCATACAATAATCTGCCATTTGATATCATTTTCCTATTATTTATGTATGTGGGTCACATTAATTATTTGATTACTTTTAAATAAATAACTAAAAAAGAACTTAGCTTGCTAAGTACCTTGTGATTTGATGTCATCACTACTACTAAATTGAAAGTCACAATAATAATAATAATAATAAGAGTTAATTCTTAAAATGGTCCTTCGACTATGACCTTTTCACAAGAGTAAATATCCAAAATGGTCCCTCGACTATAGCTAAATTCACAAATTGGTCATTGACTTTCAATTTCAACCAATTAAGTCCTTAACTTTGCAATTTTAACACGATTTGGTCCCCCCGTCTATTTGACCGTTTGTTGACTGTGATTTTTGAGGATATATAAGTAATTCACGGTCCATCGTCGCATTTTTAAGGTTTCGGTTGCATTTTCATACCGCAATGTTGCATTTGAATCCACTGTCGAAAGCAATCTATCAAATTTGGTCGCTTTTGGTAATAGTTGGGCGTAATCATCTCCGTGCTAACCACCAGGGCGTTAGAGTTGGGGTGCACGTACAGGAGGTCACGTGCGAGATCGATCGAGATCAGGCCGGAGCTGCACCCCATGCCGGAGAGATTATAGTTTTTGATAGATAGATCGACGAAGTCCCTGGAGCGGCTCTTCAAGAAAGCCGTGACTCCAAGCGACGTAGGCAAGCTTAACCGGTCAAAATTCTTTTGAGCTTTGCACGTGAAATTACATATATATCCTCAAAGATCACGGTCAACAAACGGTCAAATAGACGGAGGACCAAATTGTGTTAAAATTGCAAAGTTAAGGACTTAATTGGTTGAAATTAAAAGTTGAGGACCAATTTGTGAATTTAGCTATAGTTGAGGGACCATTTTGGGTATTTACTCTTTTCTCAAATTGGTTCATTGACTTTTAATTGCACCCAAAGTGGTTCTCTAACTGTTGAATTTTAAGCCCAAATGGTCCTCCATTAGATTTGGTGTTAAGTGGGTGTAAAAATGACATTTTATATTGTTTATTTTTAGAGTTTTGACTTGCCGATCACTTCCCCAAATTAGTGAAAATATTTTCTCCAAGGAAAAATCGCAATTTGGGAAAGAAGGGGAAAATCGCAATTAGTTAGGTTTATATTATTTAATTTGGAAAAATCTTTTCACTAATTTGGGAAAGTAATCGGCAGGTCAAAGCTCTAAACAACAAACAATATAAAATATCCTTTTTACCCTTCATTTTAACACCCACTTAACACCAAATCTAACGGGGACCATTTTGGCTAAAATTCAATAGTCGAAGGACCACTTTAGGTGCAATTAAAAGTCAAGGAACCAATTTAAAAAAGAGTAAATGCCCAAAATGGTCCCTCGACTATAGCTAAATTCACAAATTGGTCATCGACTTTCAATTTCAACCAATTAAGTCCTTAACTTTGCAATTTTAACACAATTTAGTCCTCTGTCTATTTGACCGTTTGTTGACTGTGATTTTTGAGGATATATTTGTAATTTCATGATCCACCGTCGATTTTTAAGGTTCCGGTTGCATTTCCAGACCGCACTGTTAATTTAAATCCACTGCCGAAAGCAATCTACCAAATTCGGTCGCTTTTCTTCATCCTCCCATTGGATTCAATGTAGTTGAGTTCGTACCAGAGCGAAAAAGACAACGTGTTTCTGAATCGGTGCAACATCATCCTGGAGGCCTCCACGTGCTCCGACGAGAGCTGCAGGTTTTTCTGGAGATCGTCGATGACGGCGCGGCCACCGGCGTTGATGTAGAAGTGTTCGAAGGCGTGTTTGAAGTTGGGAATGTAGGGTTTCCATAAGGGATTGAAGATTTTCCGGGTGATTAGGGTGAAGAGGAAGAGGAGTTGCTCCAACACCGGGAGAACGAGCGAGCCGATTGTGGTTATGTTGGATTTGAGGGCTTAGTCGGTGGTCTTTTGAGAGGCTGATTCCGACTTTCCCTTGCGGATCTTCCTGCTCGTAAACGTAGCGGTAGGCTTTGTCGTCGGTGCCCTTGTGCATGGGGACCATGTGCATGAGCCGGTAATGGGCCCGACCCGAATCGTGCTTCTTGTTGGACACGAGAATCACGATCAACAAACGGCCAAATTGATCGAGGATCAAATCGTGTCAAAATTACAAAGTTAAGGACTTAATTGGTTGAAATTGAAAGTCGAGGACCAATTTATGAATTTAGCTATAGTCGAGGGACCATTTTGGATATTTACTCTTTAAAAAAAGGCCATAGTCGGAGGACCATTTTGAGAATTAACTCTAATAATAATAATAATAATAATAATAATAATAATAATAATAATAATATATTATTATTATTATTATTATTATTATTATTATTATTATTATTATTATTATTATTATTATTATTATTATTATCATTATCATTATCATTATCATTATTATGTTCCTTACCGGAAATAAACACGTAATATTTTATTAGAAGAAGAAGAAGCTATTTTGACTACTTTAATGGTTTTACCTATTCAAACAAAATTGTCTAGTAATTTATGGACATGTGTAGGAACAGGAAATAATGATCAAAGGAGCATATGGCATTCATCTACAAATTATTGCTCTACTTTCTTCTGTAATCTGCAGTACACACATGTAAAATTCTTACATATAAAATTCTCATGCTACATAACTTAAAACAAAATTCTTGACCTAACATCTTGAAAATTTTGTACATCTGTTTAATTTGTTACTCATAAGTTTTAATTTGAGTTATTATTTCAACGACAGATATTAAAAACTTATAAAAGAAGCAACAATATGTCTGAAGATTTCATATGATCATCCACTCACTTAACTCTTGTCTTATTGTATTATCATTTCTTTTTCAATATTTACACATGATGCATATCAAATTGTCTACATGCTCTAGCGCTAGAGAAAGTCAAAACGTATGGTAGAGTACAATGATAATAATATATATCTGATTATTATAAAGTATAGGTCAATTATAAATATCACTCCTCAACTCAATTCTAAGTTATATAAATTAATGTTGCTTTTGAATTGTCAAAATATAGTCATATATTTGCCCACATATAATCTAATTTATGCCCTCATGAGAGTAATATATACCAACATTTTGACAATTATATTCGGGAGCAACATTTATATCGCTTAGAATTAAGGAATGGCATTTATAAAAGAATTATTGTGCATATGTTTATTTACATCATAAAAACAAAACTTAAATAATCAATATACTCCGTAATTTATTTTAATTTCCAAACTTCTATCTTCTCAAATACAGTACCTGTTTTGTCACCCTCAGCTCTGATCTTCACCTCTCAATTTCAACCTATAATGTACACTAACAATAAAAATATGATCTATGAGTATGTTGATAAAAATATACATATAAATGAAGGTAAAAAAGAAATTGAAACATTAAATAACTAAGTTGAATCAATATGTGTAGAAGAGATTTGTGTTTTTGTTTTCTCACAACATTGACTTATTTTTGTCATAAGAAATCATGGTACTAGGTAGTATAGAAACTTAATTGAGGCAGAAGGAAAGGGTGCTACAATGTTACTGTTTGTCAGTGGGACGTTAAGTTCCTATATTGCAGTTAATTGAATTAATGGTATGGAGGTAGGAAATTGCATTTTTGCTATATAATAAGTGGAATGGAGGTAGGAAAACAATCTATTTTGCCTAATATTTTTCTCATAAATTTTGCCTAATATTTTCCTCTCATATTTATATTTATTGGGGGTTATGAACTGATTAACCAATCTATTTTTAAGTTTTAATTAAATACTCCATAATAAACAACTCAATCAAATAGTGCCACGTCAAGATAGGATTAGAAGAAATAAGGAAGGAAATTTTAGGTGGGATGTATAGCATTACTCATAAAAATAAATGTCGAGTAACAATTGCTTCTTCTAGTTGAAATTTATTCGGCATGTTAATTGAGAAAAGATGATTAGTATATATGCATTGCCATTCATTTAATATTTTATGCTAAAAAATTAAATTCATTTCGAGCATGAAAATAAACCTACCTCGATTTCTCAATTTAATCCCTAGAATGAGACTTTACCCTTTCCTTCCTCTTTTTAATGGTGATTTGATTTCCTTCTTTCTTGTGTTATAGTTGAAATGGATTGGATTTCAACTTTCCGTATACTCTTCCACTAACTTCTATTGGTACAAGTTTCTGATTATCTCTTTTCCTTTTTTTTTTTTTTTTTTTTTTTTTTTTTTTTTTTTTAACGGTGAATAGCCCGGTGGGAGGCAAAGCCCCTCAGATCATACACAAGAGCTAACTTAGCCTTTTTGGGCAAAGAGCTAGCGTTACAGAAAATCATAGAAGTGGGAAAACTTAATTCAGCTGAAGCTAGAGCGTCTGCGACCTGGTTGGCATCCCGATAGACATACCTAATCGTGGAGCCCCAAGTGTCCAGACAAGAACGAATAAAAAGCACCGCATCCCTTATCCTCCACGGTATCCTAGCTAGCTTTCCCGTCACCAAAGTGGCGAGGGCAAGCGAGTCCACTTCAACCGCGAATGGGCGTTTGGCGAAAGTCGTGCACCATTGCAGCGCAAACCACAACGACAAGGTCTCGGCTTCCAAAGCCGATGTGGCTTCGAGGCGGAAGCACAGACCAACTACGAGGCAGCCATGGGAGTCCCGCAAGCAGGCACCACCCGCAGCTGTGTCTGCCACGAACGCTGCATCGGTGTAGAGCTTCAGCCGTCCTGTTGGCGGTGTTAGCCACTTGACCCAAATCGTCACCCTTTGTGGCGGAGATGCAA